TGTTCTGTGCATGAGACGCAAAATGTAGCGGTTTCGGTGACGAGTCTACGTATGAGCGAGAGTACTGTAGTACTGAAACACGGTACTACAGCACAATAGAAATGCCGTCTTCTTCCAAGCAGCATAAAACTGGAAGTCATCGATAATCGATGAGCCAGACGGCAGGCGTGGAAACTAATCCACGATCGAACTAATGTGAGTCAGGCTACCCCACACGACAAATCGACGGTTTTTACGGACTCAATCGAGATAAGAGGTTGCGGCAAAGTGGCTACATAAACATTAGCACACCGACACTTGGCGACGTTCTCACCGTGGTGGCGAAAATAAACAAACATTAGCGCAAATGAGATGCCGTTGCCTAATGCGCATGAAATATTCATGTGGCCCTTGCCTGGAAGAAGCCTTCAATGACGCTCTGTTGAATTCGAATATTTTGCACAGGTGCCAAAGAGAGGAAGGCCGGCGACTGTCAAATCTTCTGATGACCGATGACCGGTGGTCATTTAAGAAGTTTATATCGAGTCCAGCACAACAGACGACCAGGGAAAATCGCATTTGCTTTCTCCCGCTGCTGCGTTTTCGCTGACTGTGCGATTGGCCCAAGGCTATCGTTGCCATCGACGCGACGACGAAGGCTATTCATACCGCGAACGTTGAATGGCGTAGGCGGAGCTACGGTGCTTCCGTCGTAACCAATCAACTGCCGGAACGGCGTCGAATGTTCAGGACGAAAAATAAGAGTTCGAGAAGCCGCCATAAGTAAGCTTACCGCAGTGTAACCTTGTTTAAGCTGTTCAGGGAGAGTGGTATTCGGTTTTTATCCGCGTTTAGCCGAGATAATCGCGGCGTGTACATCCACCACCAGCGGAAGGTTTGCGCAAAATCCGGTCCTATACATGGCCATACTGTAGTAACGTGGAATATCATTTTTTAGGTCATCCGTTGTCCGGCCATCCATTCACACCCTGTCTATCTCGATGGCATACTCAAACCAGCTGTCGACCGATCCGAACGGATATATGTCTCCAAACGGTGGCAACCCATATGTGGTCATGAACGGCGGTTCGATGGGTTTTCCACCGTCCGTGATGACCCGCAACTACTTTCAACCGAACCTAGGCTACCTGACAGGTGGCGTACACTAAATTACTGCTCGTACGGTAGCCGCGTGATGCTCGAATTTCTAGGAACCCCTCTGAGGAAGCAGCGGCGCGAAAGAACCACTTACAGCCGTCCTCAGCTGGAACTGCTTGAAGCGCTGTTTGCAAAGACCAGATACCCGGACATCTTCATGCGTGAAGAGATCGCTCTCAAACTGAACCTTCCTGAATCTCGGATTCAGGTACTGCCTCAGCTGCTACTTTGCTATTGTCTGTCCGTTTCTTTCACTGTTGACACATGCCTCTCTTTTTTCAGGTGTGGTTCAAAAACCGACGGGCGAAATGCCGACAGCAGGCTCAGCAAAACGGCAAAGACAAGGTGAAACCTGACGCCGACAAAGAAACAACGCTACATCAGGGCACCAGTGAAAATCCATCGAGCGCCAAAGATTCTAAAGTAGTTGTCAATAGCTCCATTGTTGCTGAGCCGGTGGTCGTAAAGTCTGACTTCTACGGTGCCCCCGTGATGCCCCATCAGACGGCTCCAACTGAGATGGATTACTTGCAGCCAACCAGTACGGCCATGGTAAGCCTGGAAGTCGCCCAGCCAAAGTTCGGTCAGTACGGAATGAACGTCCAAGGAATGACTCAAGGTTCGTATATGCCATCCTACGCACCAGCGTACGCAAACGTCTACCGTCCACCTGAAGTATCGTACCGAACGCCTCCTACTCCAACTATGCTGCCGCACCGATACAATAACCAATACCGACGGAGCGTGGCTGATTATCTCGACTGGAAGTACCCCATGTTTTAGAGGAAGATGAGAATCGGGGTTCAGCGTGTCTGTCTTCCAGCCCTCCCCACTGCTGGCTTGTTCTTGAGGAAGGTCTGCTGATCAACGGAATCGCCTGCTCCTGAAACTTCCGTCCATGCTGAACCGTAACGTATACGTCATAGTAGCACACATTTGTTCGTGAATTGTTTTTAACGATATTCTGTTTTCGTTTTTCCGCTTGTGTTATTCAGATGTCCTTAAAACTTTTCCAAATTCGACTAGCATTCTACTGTGGCTGTGGAAACGTCAGTAATTTCAGAACCAATGCCATGCTCTTGCGCAGCGAACCCTCGTCCAGAACAACGTAACAAACTCAACAGGCAGCGATGTTGCTTAAATGCGCAAAACCGATTTAAATCTACGTGAGTGGCACTCGAGTCGTCAGACAATTGGACCCCGTATCTGATCCCGGGCAGATGGTCGCTGTTGTTCGGCATGGCGCTTTGGCAATCAGGTGCTAAGGATACGAGACTTATCCATGGTTTGGACTCCGCACTGATTAATCCGCTTACCGTTACGACGCTGAGCTGGCGATTCGCCCGCCACAATGTCGAACAGCTGTTTCCAATTTACGGTCAAGTTGCAGAGGTGAATCGCTAGCTCCGGTTCAGCCACCGAGGTGCCGTGCCTGTCCATCCATTTATTAACAAACGTTCGTTGAAACGCATCTAGTTTTCTCTGCTCTGCACATTAATTAATACTTCGTCGAG